GGTCCCTTCTCCCAGGGAACAAGTGACAGGAGCAGAGAAAATGGCCTCAATTACACCAGGGTGGTTTAGTTCAGGCATTAGGAACAATTTCTTCACCGAAAGTGTGGTCAGGAACTGGCACAGCTGTCCAGGGTACTGTGGAGTCCCCATCCCTAGAAGGATTCATAACCATGTAGATATGGAACTGGCAACATGATTTAGTGGTGCTGTGGTTGTCAGGGACAAGAGACACCTGTGACTGGCAGGAACAGGACACAGGTCCTGCTGCTCTGGGGATGCTCCCTTTGAGAAGTAGGACCTGTGTCCTGTTCCTGCCAGTCACAGGTGTCTCTTGTCCCTGACAACCACAGCACCACTAAATCATGTTGCCAGTTCCATATCTACATGGTTATGAATCCTTCTAGGGATGGGGACTCCACAGTACCCTGGACAGCTGTGCCAGTTCCTGACCACACTTTTGGTGAAGAAATTGTTCCTAATGCCCGAACTAAACCACCCTGGTGCAATTGAGGCCATTTTCTCTGCTCCTGTCACTTGTTCCCTGGGAGAAGGGACCAATCTGAAAAAAGCTTCCACTGCCATTGCTTTCCAGAAATGGAGAGTTTTCTGAGGGACTTTCAGATCAGCCCTTTCTGCTGCGGCCATTCCTCTCCCTGTGCTCTCCTCTCCTGTCACTGACCCTGAGCAGTCACCACGAGCACCCTTCACCTCTGCAGATCAAAGCTGTTCCCTAACCCCAGGCAGCTCCTGCCCAGCCCGTGTGTCACAGGATGTGTTGCAGGAGGATAACGGTGACATTGTAACAGCCCCAGGAGGCCCCTCAGCCTCTGCCACTGCAGCAGGGAGGGACGAGGGGCAGCCCCAGCACCTCTACACTGATGGGGCACTGCCTGGTTGGCCAAGGGCAGTTGTGTCAACAGCAATAAGTGCATGTCCCACCCACCAGGAGGAGTATAAAATCAGGGTGTTTTAGGCAAAGCAGCATTCCCTGATCCCAAGGGCATCTGGAGCCGAACGATTGCTGTTGGATTTGCTGCTGCTTGAACACCAAGACCTTCATCAGGTAAGTGACTGTGGGGTCTCTTTCTGGAAAGCTGCCCATTCAGGTTCTCAGCTCGAAGGCCATCTCCACTGACTCACCCAGAGGACAAACAGCTGGAAGTATCCAGGTTTGCTCTTAGGCCATCGGAGATGTCTGGGAAAGTGAATAAAAGCCTTTTATGAGTCTCAGAGATGAGAACCTGTGGGAGGTCAATCTAAGCTTTCCTAAGTAGAGGATAGAGTGGAAATGTGCCTTGATGCTGCAGGAGGGACTCAAGAGCTTCTTTGTGGGCAAATGGAGACTTTCTTTGGATGGAATGGGTAACAACTGGAGTCAGGTGTGCAGTCTGTTCTCTGGGGAAGGTGTGTGGAAGATTTTAGAGAAAGTTATTGGAAAAGGATCATCTTAGATAATGGATTTCCCTGAAGTTGAGACATCCCAAAACACTCCCAAGATGTTCAGGGTGTCACAGACCTCAGAATTGTTCTTAAAAGAAAGGTAGAGGAGAGATCACGTGCTGTGTTTGGAGGCAGCCCCTCTGCAGTTTGGGGA